TGAGACGTTCCAAGTGCCTGTGCCCTAATCTAGACTCGTTAGTGGAGTAGGCGAGGTACGGTCCGGCATATTAGATAGTACCGGGGTACGTTCCGGCAGTACCCTGGGGGACATAGACCCTAGAGGGGACATAGACATAGAGGTAGTATTTGTGAATGTGCGTTCAATATTATTTTCAGTTTTTACTGACTCTGTGAGTGACAGTCACAGTGCGAGTCTGTCCCAAGTCAAGTGCCTGTGTTTGTGATTAAACGCAAGTAGTAAAGTTTAAACTCAAATAGTATGTGCAAATAAGTGCAATGACTGTAGTGTACGTTAGTTACCTGCTCAGCTTAGCCAAGCCCCAACCAAAGCCCCAACGATCAAGCAGACCATATAAATCACCAAAAATTCACAAAAATCATCAAAAATCAAATGCTCTGGATCAAGTCAAGCTGGTCAAACTAATAACGATACTACCGCCACCACTCGGGCAACAATACAAATAACTGCAAACACTTGTGGCGATTACAACCATAGAAATGTATAAAGACCTAGTTACTATTATATTAATAATATTATTATTATAACGATATGGACTTCAAAGAATCCTGATGGAAACAGTCGCGAAATATCAGCGGTTTGAACTGGAAGAGATTTCATTTCTCCTTGCACCATATAATAAAAGCTTTTTGGAATCTACATAGAGTATTAGAGAGTATTGGAGGGTTCAAATTGTCTCTTTAATAGATAACGTAACTATTTCTAGAGTTCACGGTGCCAACATTAACCAACTATGTATATTTCAACCTTTAAATGTTACTAAGAATTTTAATAAATATCTCGATGGTAGAGGAACCAGATCCTAACTTCATGTCAATCGCAAGATATCACCTTTATAAAAACTAGTTCAGACTGATACATTAAAATAAAATGTAAGACCTGACATAAAACATCAAAATTACTCAACGTAAATGTCAACTTCAAATATGTAATTCCTAATTGTAGTGTTTATAAGAGCAGAACGTCCACACACAATCTGTTACATAACTACACTAAAATGAACGCTTGAAAATCAAACAATAATAGACAGAAAGACAACTTGTTTGTCAAAATATTTTTATAAAAAATTTATTAACATAATCGACGGAACAACGGGCAACCGCTAGTTGCACGCAACAGACACTGAACGGTGGTAAACTTTAGAAACACTGACTCTTCACACACGTCCACACGCTCGCTCACCAGCTTTCTCTCACACACACGCACACACGCACACACGCACACACACACATATACACACACACAATAGAAGCTACGGATACTGAAATAAATGATGTCCTTGGTGGTGTGTGTATTTACAAGATGCATGGAAATCGTAATAAGAACGTCCCACACGGCTCGATGACGCAACTTCTAGGTGTGGTTGCCAATCGCCGTAAACTCTGAACTGTGGATTCATCTTTGTCTACGAGACATTCCATTTTCATACCGACACATTCAGTTGACGTGAAGAAGTGAAATGTTTCTCCGCACGCCCGCTTAAGCTAGGATAAACCGAAACAGTCTCGGAAACTTGACTCGATCGCGTGAGAGTACTCTGACGTCTATCAAGTCAACCGACATCAACAGATTCACAATACACCTTTTAATTAACACATAAACGATACGTTGCACTGAAATATTCCGTAGGTGAAATCAGAAAACTGCGATACCATAATACTGTATCAATCATAAAAATTCGCGAACTTCAACGCGCGTGGGTGAACAGCAATCGGAATCAGCATTGCGCGTAGTCATACTCCTGCCTCGCGCAAAAAAACGCACAATTGTCAACGACGCGAGACAATTTCGCCGCGAAACGCGAAGCGATTGGTAACAGCGTCTGCGCGGCGGTCCTGGCTCGCCAAGGTGACCTCCGCGAGACGGACGATCGCAAACTGAAGTAACGGCGTAACGACGGGAACATTTTTTCCCATTTAGAAATGTACATGCGCGAACATCGTAAAGTGAGAGGCTGCAGAGTGGGAAAGAATCCACTTCGCGCGGGGGAAGAAGAAAGACCGCACGCTTCCGTCGCGGCCTGCCATGCCAGATTCATCATCCCGCACGCACGGCGAATTCGACCTAGACACACGCCTGCAAACTAGAGTCAGACGCGCGAGAGTCGTTCAGCTGGTAATTCCGGAACAATTGAACTTCCGTCGTCTCTTTCTGTCGGCGCGCGACCGCGGATTTTTTTTAAAGCAGACGACAGCCCACGTCACTGCAATCGGCGTTCACCAACCCCCATCCCCCC